GAAACTTCCTCCTGGTTAAAAAAAAAAAAAAGAGAGAGAGAGATGTCCATAGGACTCGCCTGTGTATGTTTATATTTAAGGGATCTGCTGCTCAGGTGCCCTCTCTTCCTCCCAGCCTCCCCACAGCGTCTCTATTTGCGAGTAGTGTCCCCTCAACTGATATTTGGCAGACCTTCTTGCTTCACCTTTGTTACTTGTCCTAGTTCACGTCTGCTGCAAGGCTAGTCCTGGCCACCTCTGCTGCATGTCCGTCCCAGTGCTAACCCAGGGCCTTACCCAGAACAGATAGATACTTAGGAAATACTTGTTAAATTATGACCTGAAAACACAGTATAATTTAGTTGACTGCTAGTTCAGGAAGCAGACATCTTCATTAGAATTTCCCCTACTGCTTCCGTGGCTCATCTTGCCTCCTTCCGTCCCTGTGTGAGTTGTCAGCCCCCGGCACACCACGGAGCACCCTCCTCGGCCTCTGAGTGCAGTAGCTGGGATTAATGAGGTGATGTTACATGTGCTTCGGAAAAGGCACTGCTAAGTATAGGTGACGATACTGCTGTTGTTTGTTAGAATTATGTGCTTTGAGCCCTGCGTTGCACAATGAGCTATATACACCTCAAAGCGTTTATTAACTGTTGGGTGATCGTAAAGCGCTTTGGAATTATCATGCTGGGTGGGTGGAACAGGCAATTAAGCATGCTGAACTGGGGGATGCTGGGAAGACACAGGGTTACAGGGTTGTGTGTGTTCATGTTTCACGTGTGGGTGTGTTCCTTTGCCTCCCCAGACAAATTCCCTAATCGAGCTGCTGAGATCCGAGGCTTGTGACGCTCAGAATAAGACCTAACAATACTTGTGTGCGGTTTAAATGGCATTGGAAATCATTAACGAGACAAAAAAGCTATGATTTCCCTAGATTAACATGCAGGTTGGGGTTTAGCATGCCAAAATTCATTGTTTTGGTCTCTAGCCCAAACATGCTAGAGTCATTATATTGTCATGTGGTAATTAGCTGTTCCTTTAATACAAGTAATAAAAATTAAGCCTAAGAGGTACTTTAGCAATGCCTTTTACATATCCCAAAACAATATTCAAATGCTGTAGGCGTTTAGTCATTCAACTGTACTGTAGTAAAGTTTGAAGTTTAATGCACAGAGATGTTTGAACATTCAGTTCATTCTTTATTCTGTGACCAGTTTTGCTACTTAGGCATTAACCTTTAATAGTGCTAAATTAAATATAAATGCCATAATGAATAATTATGAGATTGCCAGAATTTTCATTTACAGTATAATGCTTTGTGAGGATTGAAAATTTGTCTAAAGGTCTAGTTGTTATTCACTTGATAATGTGCGTGCTATTTTTTATGTTCACTGAATTCCTTGCTGATTTGAATGAGGGAAGGCTTTTTTTAAAAAAAGGAAGGACTGGAATGATTCAACCACTGTAGAAATCGCTATGGGGATTCCTTAAAAAATTGGAAGTAGAAATACTATTCAGTCCAGCAATCCCATCAGTAGGTATATATCCTAAAGAAGTGAGAGCCAGGACAGAATAGACATCTGGACACCCATGTTCATAGAAGCACTATTCACAGTAGCAAAGAGATGGAAACAACCTAAATGCCCATCAGCAGAGGAATGGATAATCAAACTTTGGTACATACACACAATGGAATACTACGCAACACTAAAGAATAATGTAGAATCTGCAAAACACTGCATAACGGGGATGAACTTGGAGGATATTGTGCTGAGTGAAATAAGTCAGTCTGAAGGACAAATATTATATTGGTCTGCTATTCTAAAAAGTCAAGGAAAGGCTTTTGTTGGCTACCAGGGATGGGAGGGCAGGGAAGGGGAAATTGCTCAATAGGTATATAAATCTACCTAAGATGATTAGTGGTTACCAGGGTAGGAGGGAAGTGGGAAGGGGAAGCTTTTGTTTTTGTGGTATTGCGTTTATGCTGATGGCGGTGGAATGTTTTGGAAAAGGAGAGCATTCATGATGGCACAACATGAAAAATGTCATCAGTGTCCCTGAGCTGTAAACGTGGAAAATGTTATGTTGGTGAATGTTTTGATGTGTGTTTTCACCACAATAAAAGAGGAAGGAAAAAAAAAAAAGGAATGGACTGGAAAAGTTCTTGAAAGAAATTTTAGGGATGGAGGGCAGTATACTAGCTTAGCTCTCTACAGATATCATTTGTTCTGGCATCCGTACTGGAAAGCCTACAGGAGCAAATGTTAATAGAATTTTATGCAAGTGCAGTATTTCACATCCTTGCCTCTCCTTCCCTAAAGTCTGTATCAAGTTCAGGTTGTAGTTCTAAATGAAGGGAGTCGAGGGTTTGCTGTTACTTCCTTCAGTCATTTGCCCAGCATGAGGCCATAGGGGGAGAATAGAAGAAGAGACCCCTGGGAAAATACTGAAGTTGGAGAAATCAGAAAGAGATTGGAATGATCGGAGGAATTTGGTTTTTAGTGTCATTACTCCTCCAACTGCTAACCAGAAAGCTGGCAGTTCAAACCCACCAGCCACTCCTCAGAAGGAAGGTGGACAATCTACTTCTGTAGTGATACCGCCTCGGAAACCCAAAGAGGGGTCACTATGAGTCGGATCTGACTTGACAGCAGTGAGTTTGGTTTTTTTGGATCTCCCAAAATAGCCTTTAAAATGAACCCTATTTTAACACGGATTAAAACTATAATGAAAGGCCACAGAGGAGAAAGTGAGGTCGTCGTAAACAGTATACGCCCAGCATGAATGCCCAGCAGCCAGGGATTTTGCATGATGGACAATGTTGGTATTGGACCCTGGCACACGCAGTCTGCTGACTTTGTGCTAGACATATCCCAGGGCTGCCTCTTGTAAACTCTGAAAAGACATTGGCATGTTGAAGAGTTCCTGGCTTGTGGTTAGCATTGAGTAAGGCGTGGTGAGACCTAGCCCTCCTCTCCAGGAACCAAGGGTGGTCTGAAAAATTAATGGCTCTGGTATTTCAAAATTAAGTGAGTACTTGGATCTATACCCTCGTTGACCCATTGTGCTGGGTGTTTAGCATTCCTCAAGAGAAGACTAAATCCTTGCAGCCATTCCACTGGCGCCCATACCAGAAATATAGTCAATAATTTTTTCTAAGCCCCATGGACTTCAGTATTCTTCCACTCCATTTAAAAAAAAAAAAAAAAACACTGCCATCGAGTCAGCTCTAACTCATAGTGACCCACATTGGATTTCTGAGGCAATAAATCTTTACGGAAGTAGATTGCCCAGTCTTCTTTCCACAGAGTGGCTGGTGGGTTTGAACTGCCAACCTTCTGGTTAGCAGTCCCTTGGAGCCCGAGAATTCCAGGGGCAGTTTTCTGCTGGTGCCCAGCGTGTGGATGATCAGTTCTTTTTAGGTAGCAGGGGAGAAAAATAAAGATTGACACTAGAAAGAAAATGGACTGTCTCTGCATTTTGTTCAGAAGGAATGGTAAATGCAAAGAGCTAGTATCTGTACCTCCAAGTACAGGTAGTCCCCAGATTATAGACGGTTCCATTCCTTAATCTGTCTTTAAGTAGAATTTGCACGTAAGTCAGAAGAGTTAAGCATGGTTCATATCTAACATCAGTTAGTCAAATGTTTGTCTTAGTGTATAGTATATAGTGTGCCTTTCTATGCATGAAAAACGTTAAAGGAGCACTTCCAGATTTACTGAAATATTTCTAACATAATACGGTGATAATGATAGTATTTAATGCACATCACAAAGTAGCACCCGTTTGTTACCACGAACCATTGTACGTTCCTTGTCTTTTTAATAGAATAAGGTTTGGGGATGTGTGGAAGGGTTGTAACTACGTAAGTCAGCCCAGACATTCGTAACCCGGGGACTGCCTATATAGTAAATTCCATCGCTGTAATCTCTAAATTCAGGTTAAAACTCAGTTTTCTGTATGTGGATCTGATGGTGAATATCATGTTGAATCGGCCACAAGACCTCACATCACTGGCCCAGTTGCTGCCTTCCTGCTCATGTGGTCCCACTCTTTGTATTATAATCACGAGTACAGTGGCCTGAGATGGGCCAGAGCACGGGGTGGGCCACCACCAGCTGGACTTGTGGGCACAGGCTGACCCCAGGGCTCTCCAGTCTTTGAATCACCCTGACTTTTCCTTCTGCACCTCTTTCCTTAGTAACGGAGCTCGTGATGCCAAGAGATCATGTTCCTGAGTAGGGTGGCTTCTTGTTAAAGCCCAAGGAGTTATTTCCTCCCTTCCGCCAGGTGGCATTCCTTGGATATGGATGGGTCACTTGGAGCTAAGAGACTTAGATTTACACTGTCTGCCTTCTGTCTGGCTGGGTTGTCTTGGAAAAGTCCCACAGCTTCTCTGCACGTCAGCCTCCATCCCGTAAAACAAATGGCCTGCCCATCTTACATCTCTTCCCAGAATTGTGAGGCCCAGCGGGGAAACAAGCCACGACTGTCTGGTGGCCTGTGAGACCTCTCTGAGTTAGTGCACGTGCTGTTTGTACCTTGGTGAAAATTCCTGGAAGCTGAGCTTCTGGGCGCCTTGTCAGGGACTCTCTCCTCCCAGGACAGCTCTGGATTTTCCCAGGGCCCCGTCCCTTGCCACCACCAGGTGTTCTTCTCTTCTTATCGGATCAAAGAGTGAGCCAGTCGTTTGAGAGTTACACCGCACCAGAGCACTTGGTGAATCCCACAGCCTTCCCATCCTGTCTGAATGCTTTGAGGACCTCGGGGTGGGTCTGCGTGCTGCGTCCGTGCTGCGGTCTTTGGACACATCCTGTGTCGAGCAGCAGAGAGGTGTCCACATTCCGGCGGGGGGCTTCCAGGGGCTCTGCCACGGGAGGCGAGGCCTCGGCTTCGGGAGGCTGCCCTGGGGGAGCTTTCTGGGGGTCTGACCGCCTGGGCCCCGCGAGGGGCCGTCCACGCCCACGAGGGTTGCAAGCTGGCGAGGAGAGCGGGGTGATGTGACTTCTCGTGCCCTGCAGACCCGGTGCCTGCTCTGGACCTCGGGCAACAGCTCCAGCTCAAAGTCCAGCGGCTGCATGACGTTGAGACCGAGAACCAGAAACTTCGGGAGACCCTGGAAGAGTACAACAAGGAGTTCGCTGAAGTGAAAAATCAAGGTGCGTGGAAAACTCAGTCTTTGCTTTTTTCTTTCTTTTTTTTAATTGCCTCCCCTATGCTGTTGGGACTAGCTCTAATGGTAGCAGACGTCATAAAGTCAGGGTGTGGCACGAATCATAGCAGTCTTAAAGACAGAGAATAATAATGCTCTGCTATTTAGAAGTCAGGCTTTTCCTCCCCACAATGAGGACGTGTGTGTTTTTATTACCCTCTGACGGGACTGATCAGGCTCCTTTGAAAATTCTTCCTGTATCATCATGTGATAGGATCTGCCTTTTAAAAGACCAGTGTGCTGCCTTCAGGCGACACCTGTCAGAGAGCCAGCTTGGGATCAAAGGGTCCCATGCAGCAAGTCACTTACTCACCGCAGCTGATAGATTAAGACCTTGGACGCATCCTGAGAGTTTCACGCTTGTGCACGACAAGTTCCTTGTCATAGTCGCCTTTTGATTACTGACTTAACAACGAAGGCAAACACCCTCACACCCTCATGGTGTGGTTGCCAAGCCATCACCAAGGCAGACAGGACAGAGATGGCCTGGCTTGTCCTGTCTGGGAAGAAGAGGGAAAGCTCCCCTACACCTAAAAAGCAGATATCTTCAGACTCGGGGAGGCTGACGGCTTCCTTGTCTTGAAAAAAACCCATCCAAGAGCAGCTGTGAGCTTTTCAGCCAACTCCCAGTAAAAAGTCGGCCTGTTTGTTTTTGTTTCGGGATGTGGGTGAGGAGGTACGGAGGGGAGGCAGGCGGCTCAGCCAGCTTCCCGCTCCGAGTGGCCTTGGATGTAACAGGCCTCTCGTGGCCTGATAACTTAGCCAGGGAAGACTTTGAGAAGCCTCTTTCGGCTTTGAGGACAAGCTTGGCACGAGGAGGCATTGTCCCTGCGTAAGATCCAAGAAGAGACTGCAGTGTGCCCCAGAGCCCAGGCTGTGGTGGAGGGCAGCGCTCCCAGGGCCCCTTCCTTAGGGTCTCGGAGCCCTCTCCTTCACAGGCCCGCAGAGCCTCCTTGCTGGATTTCAGGGCGAGCGGGTGATAGGACATTAGGGGAGCCAGAGTCGGCTCTGACCCACCTCCATCTGGTTCACCGAGAGCGGCCGTGCTTCGGGACCAGGAGGGACTGCTTGACTCTCCTTGAAAGTGCCGAGCTGCATTAGCAAGCTGGGGTCAGGCCGAGAGAAGGCTCTGCTTCCCCGCAGCGGGAACCGTTTCTTGTCAAAATTGCCCACGGGCTCTGGCAAGAGGCCGGTCAAACTGCACAGTCGGCTCCAAGAGGCGCTCTCCCTGAAGGGCTGCGCTTTTTGACTGCTGGCTTCTGCTTTTGACAGACACACTGTTTGTCTTCTGTTTGGTTTGATTTTGCTTTGTTGGGGGGTCTGGTGCCGGGGGGTTCCCCGTGGGCCGGCCGCTGTTTTCTCACCCAGCGCAGCACACCAGGGCTGGCCAGGAGCCAGAGCTAAGCTGTGGGATGCTTGCCTTCCCAAAGGCCTCATCTGATGGGCGTTTTGAAATGAAACAAGTGATCCAAGACTTAGGAACAAAGGCTCCAGAGGCCGCCAGCCCCTGCTTGAGCCCCTGCACTCCCACTGCTTAGCTGTGTGACCCTGGACAAGTTCTCCCACTTTGTTAAAAGCCCCATTTTCTTAGGGGATGATTCTCATAGTTGCCGTGGCTGCAGGAAGAGGCTAGTCCTCACTTCTGACAGGCAGATGGTGTTGTCACTTGAGCCCGGGGCCTCCTTGTCACGACGCTGTGTGGGCCTCACCGGGTCTGCTCGTTCGTTCCTCTGGGCCTCAGCCATGTCGTAAGCGTCCACCTGTGGTGGGTGCCGGGAACACAGAGCTCAGGCTTTGCCTTCTGAGTCAGGACCCTACACCTGCTTTGCCGTTCCCTTTGGGTTACTGACGTGAAGGTTGTAAGCATGCAGGTGGTGGTGGTGGTGGTGCTACAGCTGCGAGTTGTATAGGTCTGGCCTTCGCAGGGACAGCCCCGCCTCCTAACAGACGCTTTGTCCTGGAGCCGCTAACCCACGGGGCTGGCTCATCGCGCCCTGCTGCTGCCCCTGTCACCGGCTGTCATGTGCCACGCCATGCAGCAGGGCACTGGCAGGTGCCCTCCAGGCACTGGGGAACGTCTCACTGGGTGCACTTCTTCCCCGGGCCCTGCACGGGTTGCCCGAGTCTACCCGTCTCTGTTGGAGGGTGATCTCGGCACCCAGGCTCCAGGGTGGCCCCTTCCGGCTGGCCGCTGAGCAGGTGCACGCTCTGTCCACTTCGCACGATGTGGTTTTCGTCACCTGTGAAGCAACAGCGCTGCAACCCATGCCAGAGAAATCTGTAGACTTCACCCGACTTGGGCTAAGACTGCTTCTTCCAAGTGTGCACCCCATTATGAACTGTTTTCTTTGTAGGAAAGTACTTAAACCCACACTAAAACTTTATTAATCTTCCCTCAGTAAGGGACTCATTTAAGACTCATCGATAAGATGATATTATATTTTACCATTGATTTTTCCCTCCTCTTTTTTTTTTTTTTCCCCCCGATGTATTAGAGAAACCATAGCTCTTCTTCCCAGCAAAATCCATTGATCCTTCTCAACGTAAACATTTAAAGTTCAATTTAACATTTAGGGAGTAAAAGGTCTCCGAAGGGACTCGTAACCATTGATTTTGTGTCAGAGTTGAAGAACTAAAGTTTAAAACATACCGATCCTACTAGGTTACGAATGCCTTGTGTGTATCGCCGCATGAACGTGGGCTGCTCTCACTGTTTTTTTTTTTTTCTTCTTCTTCATCTCTGCAGAGGTTACGATAAAAGCACTTAAAGAGAAAATCCGAGAATATGAACAGACTCTGAAGAACCAAGCTGAGACCATAGCTCTCGAAAAGGAACAAAAGTTACAAAATGACTTTGCAGAAAAGGAGAGGTGAGCGTGTGGTCTGGCTTGCACATCCTGGCGTAATGGGGTGCCTCTAAACTTCACATCCATAAGGCATGAACCTGTGAAGTCAGCCCAGTCTGTAAGCAAAGCTCCCAGGGGTTCTAGGCAGAATTTAGCTGGGAAAATAAATAAATAAATAGCTGCCATGGAGTCGATTTCGCCTCCTGGTGACCCGACACGTGTCAGAGTAGAGCTGTGCTCCGGGGCATTTTCGGGACGTGAGTTTTCGTAAGTAAATCACCAGGCCTTGCTTCTGGGGTGCGTCTGGGTGGACTCAAGCCTCCAACCACACGGACTCCTGGGAAACAAAGACGCTCCTTTGTTCTTAGTCTGTGGGATGCCCTTGGGTGAAAATCCCTCTTACCCGTTGGTAGATGGTATCAGTGTTCATCAGTACAGGTTGTTAGAGCACAAGGCATGTAAGTGACGTGGGGGTTGTACCTGAGGTGTCACGAAAGGAGCCGTCACCTCTGCTTTGTGTCCCTGTGGAGAGCCTGGGGTACATCCTGACCTCCCTCTGTCTTTGGTCAATTTTTATTTATATTTTACTAAATAGATCAGCAGATATCACACGGGGTGTGTGTGTAATTTGGAAGGTGGTTTTGTCTGATTATCTTTGCCTCTCTTCATTGCCACACCATGCTTCGTGTATCAAGGAACTGATGTCTGTAAGATAAGTTGATAGGCCCCCCACACTGGTACGAGTTTTCCATTTCTAAGCATTTACTTTACCCAAAATATTTCCCACAAATACTGAGTGGTCTTGAACTAGTGTGACAACTTACTAAAAGCTAAGTTTCTTTTGGGAGCCCTTAGTTTTTGAAATCATAAAAAAGTCAAATTCTTTTCACTCGTAATTTGATTAAGATTTAAATTTCTCAGCCTGCCATGAAGAAATGCACATACCCATTTAACTAGCGACACTAAATTGTGGTTACAAGGCAGGGACCAGGATTGCCATGTCTCAGGGTTTTGTTGTGTTGTTTTCCATTGACTTCATGTGTGGCTGCTCGGAATTCTACCAGGTGGGTTCCGTAAAGATCTCATGTACGAGAGAGCCTCTCTGGACCACTGTTAAGCCACCTCCCACTTACCCAGTGCCTGTTCGGACTGAGAGCCTCTCCAGGTGCTCTGTGAACACTGTCTCACCCCGTGGGGAGCAGACCCTCGTCCAGAAGAAGGAACGAGGACACAGATTGAGAGACCAACCTGCCCCTGCGCCCCTCGCCGGTGGCTGTGCAGACGTGGGCATGACCACCTGGAGTCCGCACCGCAGGACCACACCCCACTCTGCACGCAGAGGCCAGGGAGTGACAGGGCAAAGCCCCTGTGGGGAAGGAAGTGCGCAAAAATCAGTGCTCAAAAAGATGGGCAGACCCTCCGACCCAGGGGATGTGGCCTTGGGCCTACGGAAATGCTTGTTAGGGAAACACTTCATGTACAGAGATTTTTCACAATGTTATTGATAGTGGGGGAAAATGCAGGCTAGCTACATGCCTAACCAGTGAGAAACAGGTCAGTGGAAGACAGTCTGTCCCCTAACTGTGACGTGATACAGCCATTAAAATAATAGTTCTTACAGAATCCAGTAACATGAGAAACGTATAATATTAAGTATTATATACATAATATTAAGTAAAAAATGCCTAATTCAAAATTATAGATAGTGGATTGTGTAATTCAGAAGGATACATACTGGTTTAGAGTAAATTTGTGCATTGCAGAAGTCCAGAAATAATACATTAAATTCTCACGAGTCTATTCAGTTGACTTGTCAAATTAGGTAAAAGATTAATATTAAAAAATGTGAGTAACTGTTTTGGGGAAGGGGGAGCATAAAGCTAGGTCTTTCCTTCATTCTCTGCACCAAAGAAATGACATAGATTTGAGATTTCAATATTAGTAATTAAATTACATACATACTGGAAGAGAACTGGGCAAACATTTTAGAGTGGGGAAGTCTTTCTAAGCATAAAAAAAGGTTATATAAATAAAACTTAAAAACAGAGTATCATCAACAATTTGTTAAATGCATTAACAAACCAGGAAGAAATATTTACAACACAGATATTTGCCATTTGTGGGCTAATTTTCTTCATATGCAAATGGCTCTTAAAAAGTAATAAGGAAAAGGCATCTCTGCCTAAAAAATGGACAGAGAGTTGAGCAGAAGGACAATGTGGGACAAAACTCAAAATCATAAAAAAAAAAAGAGAGAGAGAGAGAGAGACCAGGTTTGCTGGTCTGATGGAGCCTGGTGACACCTCCAAGGCTGTGGCCCCTAGCTCCCCTTCAGGTCTGGAATTGAACTCACTCCTGTGGCTTCCAGCCAGACAACAAACAGGCATATAGGGTGGACATTTACATCAGGTAGATACACCCTCCTGGAAGAGATCAATCGTGGGAGAACAGAAGGGCAGTGTTTGCATGGAGAGACGGCTCAGGGGAGCAGGAGTGCATGGGAGGGAAGGACACAGGAAAGAGGTAACTACGGGGAGGAAGTGGGAAGAGAGCTGTTACACTGTGGGGAATTGCAGTCAACGTCATGGAAATATGTATGAAGTGCTGTATGGAAAATGAATTTGCTGTGTAAACTTTCACCCAAATAGCAATAGGAAAAAAAAGAGAGAGAGACATCAGCAGAGAGATAAATACTCGGCTTTACTCAAAGTAAAATCCCGTTTAGGAGTCTGTGGTGCAGGTGGCTTGTTCTGAGCTGCTGATCTGAATGTTGGCGGTTCAGACCCACTCAGTGCCCCGCAGAGGGAAGGCCTGAAAAACTGCTGTCACCAAGATGCAGCCATTGGAACAGCTCTGCTCTGTGGCGTGTGGGGTCACCCGGAGCCAGGGGCCGACTCACAGCCAGGAGCACTATGGCAATAGCAAGATGAGTTTAATTGTATTCGGTGTTGTCAGGAGTGTAGAACAGTCAGGCCTAGCATCGGTGTTGGTGGAGTTTAACTCGATGAAGTTTTTCACAGGGAAGTTTCACAATACCTATCGAAACAAAAAATTAAAAGAACACACATACCGTTTGACCATTGTAATTCCTCTATAGGAATTTTATCCCACATGTTCAATCTCAGAATTACGTCAGAGTGTCTAACAGTGATCATTGCACAATTGTTTGGTAGGAAGAAGCTAAACAATTTTATGTGGTGGTTAAGGCATTTGTGTGAGTAACCAAAAGGTCCATAGTTCAAGCCCACTAGCCGCTCTGCGGAAGGAAGATGGGTGTCTGCTTCCATAAAGATTCACAGCCTTGGAAACCCAGTGGGGCTCCCTATGAGTCAGAATTGACTTAATGGCAGTGAGTGGGGTTTTTTTTTGGGGGGGTGCTTAAAATTAAGAAGAAGAATAGGGAAGAACTATGTATGCTGGAGTAGAAATTTTCCAAAATACGGAGTCAGGTGAAAAAGCAAGTTGCAGAACAGTGTGTGCAGTGTGAACCCATTGTATTTAAAGAAAAGGGTAGGTAGATAGGTACATAGGTGGATAATGGAAAGGTGGATGGGTGGATGCCATCGTGACAACCTTATACACCAGACCAAAATGTCGCCCAGTCCTGTGCCACCCTCCCTGTCACCAGCACGTTCAAGTCCATCGCTGAGGTAGTTGTCCACAGGTCACATACAGGTGGGGTTAGGGACTTTAATGTCACACTGCAGATATCACAGTGTATCTCTGGACATAAAAAGAAAGTTTTCAGAAGGATCTAAAAGAACTCTGTCTGAAGGGCATTTTACCTTCTATGCTGTTCTGAGAGTTGATTTTTTAAAACTCTGACCGTACAGTGTGGCATCTGTAAGACATGAAAGTATTGGCAGTGTTTTTCTGCGTCGTTGTTACTGGCCCTCCAGTGTATTGTGACTCATGGCAGCCCGAGTTTTCCTACAGGTGATGAAAATGTGGAGTTTTTTTAAAATAACTGTCATTTCTCCTTGTTTGTGTTCCCAGGTTCATTATTGTCAGAACATATGCTGTATTCATAGGATATAAAAATAATCAACTTATTTTTAGCGATTTTCTGCAGATTCGAAGGAAAGGAATGCTATTTATTAACCAGGGAATTCACGGAGAGATCATGGGAAATAGAAACACATACTCTGTCGTTTAAGGCATTCAGAATTTCCCGTCAGGTATTGCGGCTGCATTTGCATTCCATTATAACAGAGATGGAGCAGCTGTCACGTCTATTTAGTGCATCTTTTATCCCAACAAATTCCTTCATTGTGTCAGCAAAATGTAAATGCATCATTCTTCTTGGGCTAACTTCAGAAAACAATGAGTGCGTGATGATGTTTTTTGGTTTTTGGTTTTGTTTTTGAAATATCTGGCATTTCAAGAACAGGTTCCAGTTAGGATAACCTTCTACACAAATTGGCCCACATCTAGCCCTTCAGGATGCACTCTGCACATTGTAGAGGACACGCTTACCGAGCTGGCCTGTGAACTGTCAGAAGGAAGCTTCCCCAGCCACGTGGCAGCCGCGTGGTGCAGTCCCAGTGGCTGGTCACTCTCACTCAGAACCGCACGGTACATCTCAGTCAGTAAACCAGGTGACCAATCTGGCTGTGTTCTCTTCCTTTTCAGAAAGCTGCAAGAGACCCAGATGTCAACCACCTCAAAGCTGGAGGAGGCGGAACACAAGGTTCAGACTCTGCAAACAGGTCTGATGTTCTTCATCCTACTCACGTTGATGGAGGGAAGGCTGGCGGGAGAGAAGTCTGCTCAGCCGCCCGTGCCTCCGGGTTCCCACCGGGCCTTGTCCTGCTTGGGGTGAGCCCGCAGGCACTGCTGAGCCCACGCTGCAGACTTCCTGAGAGCCCCAGTAGCTTCCCTGCCTCGGTGTCATTAGTCACCGGCATGGAGTTGTTAATGTCGAGGTGGGAGGATGCGAATTCCGTTTCCACCCTTTCCACCCATCCTTCCTTCTGCTCCTCTTCCAACAAACACATCTAAATCCCCAGACTGTCAAGGGATGGCATTTCACTTAGATCAAAAATTAGGCAAAAAAAGTCTTTCTATCCTAAGTGAAGGTTAAGGAGAATGATGATGGCAGGCCTTTGAAATTTAAAGGGTACCAAAAACGGTTATGCTAAAGTTTTCACAGGTTCTTTAAACTTCTTCTGGGTGGGGGGTGGAATATGCCTACTGAAAGGAAATCAGCCTGGCACATTTAATTTAAATGTGGAAAAAACATCAGAAGACATCATAATCCAAGTTAAACACAAATGACAGAGTAGGGGAAAATAATCAGGCACTTAACAGACAAGTGAATCCTGTCCAGGGAATATAAAGACGTCCTACAAATGCAGTCGGACAGTTGGGTCGAGAACTGGGTAGAGGGTATGAACAGGCTGTTCGCCAAAGAAATGCAAATAGCTCATGCACATCCGAAAAAGTGTCCAAGCTCATTAGGAATCAGGGAGATGCAGATGAAGGCAGTGGGAGACTGTTTGCCTATCAGGCTTTGAAAAAATTTTTTCATTGATAATATTTGATATTAATGAGGGTATGGGGAAATGGTCATGCTTCATATCATTGAAAGGACTGGAAATTCCCTTTTGGGGGCCAGCTGGGTAGTGTTTACAGCAGTTTAAATTTGTAAGCTCTCTGCCCCAGCAACTTCACTGCTAGGTGGGCAGCGGTGACACCATGGCACACGATTGGCTGTTAGGGCTGTGGGAGATCCTGACATGGAAAGATGTCCGTGACACACTGCAGAGGGACAAGAGCAAGGCTCAGGCAGTAACACTCGTATTACTGTAATAATAATACTTGTGTCATCCCATTTATGGAAACAATATGTATGCGGTTATGTATATAACTGTTTTTCAAAGCATAAAATCTATACACTGAATTGTGACCAGTGGTTACCTCTGTGGGGGGAGCATGGGATCAGATGAGGCAGAAGGAAATGGACTTCTGTCATCACTGACTCGCTTGAAATGAAAATATGTTGTATACTTGTCTTTTATAAATTTATTTAAACTATCAGTATTTCATATCATGCTTTATGTGCTCTGCCTTTCAGCCCTGGAAAAAACGCGAACAGAGTTATTTGACCTGAAAACCAAATATGATGAAGAAACTACTGCAAAGTAAGTCCCTGCCCGCTTCCCGCATCAGTGTGCGTTTGGTCGGGTCTCCCCTGATTTTGCTAATCCTTAAAAGATTTACCTTTGATCCACCCTACTATCTATTGACTTTGCAGAGCGGGGCGGGCTTTCCTAGGTGCTTGATCTCTGCCCTGCCTCGAGGCCTACAGTGTCTCCTCACATGAAGTACTTGCATCAGTTTAATGCCCCAAGTGTTACAGCAAGCTCTCCAGCCCTCCACCAGTAGTGCCAACTATTTCCTTAATTGTTGTGAGGCCTGGTCAATGCCATACCTATTTCCAAGAGAGTTAGGACAACAACAGCAACAAAAAGAGCATCATAATGTGAAACACATGAGATGTTTTGTGGAGCTTGGTCTGTGCAAATCATGTCACCTTTTACCTGCACCAGAGGCCAGCCTTCTCCCAGGGCCCTGCAGTACGGCCCGTGTCAGAAGCAGCCCGCACCCACGCAGGTACATTTCTGTATGTCACACCTTACAGTGCTCGGTGTACCTGGGGGATTGCACACGCATAGGGAGTGTGCATGTTTGGGCAGGTGCAGTCACATGGGACTAACTTCCTACCGGGCTCTTGTCAGAAGGAAATCAGAGTGATGGACTGTGGTATACTTGTTACCAGCCCACCCTCCCTGCAGTACACCCAGAAGGAAGATGTAATAATGGCACAAATCAGGAAAAGATTAAGCCATAGACATTGTTCCTAGCCACAGCCCCACCCTGCAAAGTCCGGGCAAGAGACACCAGACTAGAGTTTCAACCACTTCTTCGTGCTTGAGAGTCTCATCCCAGGTCCCACAGAAATGCAGGTGCCCACTGACCACTGCCTTTAGGCTTGCCCTGCCCCAGTAATGGAGGTCTCCCACTGAGCTCACACAGAGCCTCAGTGGGTGCCGGTGAGGAGACAGCACTCGGGACAGCAGCACCGTCCTCCCAGGGTTCTGTTCCGTCAGTGGCCCTCTGGCCCCTCACCCTCGCCTTCAGCTTTGAGGTGGCTCCTCTGTCAGCAGCTCTCAAGGCTGGTAGACTCTTGACCCCTTGCTCTTCATTGTTGAATAGTGTGATACCTTGAGAGCCTGTCTACCCAGCCCTGAGCCAATTTTGACTATAAGCATCAAAGCTCTGCACAGAGGTTGAAATATCCTTGTCAGTAGCAACAACCCTTGTTGGCATTTCTAATCCCAGTGAAAACAGCCAAGTCTGTGTAACCTTTTTATGTGCTGAACTACTCCTCCATGTAATACAGATGGAGGTCGTTAAGGACTGATCATTATTCATTTCATTTTGAAATTTGGCAGCTGGTGTTCACTCCTTCCAGCCCTGGGGCCACCACTTGTCTGTCAGTTTGTCACATTGCATGTTATTGTCATGCTGGGAGCTGTGCCACCAGTATTTCACATACCATCAAGGTCACCATGGTGGACAGGTTTCAGTGGAGCTTCTGGACTAAGGCAGAGTAAGAACGAGACTTGGCGGTCTACTGCCAAAAAAAAAACATTAACCAAGGAAAACCTTTTGGGTAGCAGTAGAGCACTGTCTGATATGGGATCAGAAAATGATCCCTTAAGGTTGGAAGGCACTCAGAGCATGACTGTGGAAGAGCTGCCTCCTCAATGTGCAATCGACCTTAATGATGTAACTAGAGTAAAGCTTTCAGGGCCTTCATTTGCTGATGTGGCACAACTCAAAATGAGAAGAAACAGTTGTAAGCAACCATTATAATCTGAACATGGAATGTGCACTGTATGAAAACTGGAAATCATCCAGACTGAAACAGAACACTGGATTTCCCACATCTTAGGCATTAGTGAGCTGAAATGGACTGATTTTGGCCATTTTGAATCAGACTATCTTATGGTCTTAATAGACTGGGAATGACAAATTGAAGAGGAAAGATGTTGTATTCAGTTGTCATAAAGAATATTTCAAGGTCTATCCTGTAGTGCAACTATCAGTGATAGGATAATATCCTTATACCCACAGAGAAGACCCGTTCATACAACTGTTACTCAAATTACACACCAACTACTAAAGCCAAAGATGAAATTGTTGAAGATTTTTACCAACTTGTGCAGCCTAAAATTGATTAAACGTGCAATCCAAATGCATTGGTAATTACTGGTGATTACAATGCAAAAGTTGGAAACAAAAAGGGTACCTTAGCAGCTGGAAGATAAGGCCTTAGAAACTTAGAAACTAATGTGATGGAAATGACACCACAGATTGTATAATAGAACTTTATAGAAACCCGTGATATGACTCATTCCAGATACCTTTTTTCAACAACATCAACAGTGAGTGTACGTGTGCAGCTTGCCCGATGGGTATACACAGGAATCAGATTGACTGCATCTTTTGAAAGAGGTGATGGAGAAACTTTATAGCATCAGTCAAATGAAGGCTAGGGGCCATTTGCGGGACAGACCATCAGTTGGTCACGTGCCAGTTCAAGTTGAAACTGAAGAAAATAAATCACTTCCTTGAGAGCCAAAGCACAACCTTGAGTTTTTATTCCCTTGAATTTAGAGATCTCTCAAGAGTAGATTTAGTGCATTCAACAGCAATGGCAGAAGACCAGACAAGTTGTGGGAGAACATGAAGGACATCATACATGAGGAAAGCAAAAGGTCGTTAAAAAGACGAGAAAAAAGAAGACCAAACTGGATGACAGAAGAGACTCTGAAACTTGCTCTTGAAAGTAGAATAGCTAAAGTGAACAGAAGAAATGATGAAATAAAACAGCAGAACAGAAGACTTCAAAGGGCAGCTTTAGAAGACAAAGTGAGTTATTTTTCCATCACATTCAAGCGGAAAGAACTGAAGAAAAAGTTCAGGCTTCAAGTTACAGTATTGAAGGGCAAAAAATTGAACACCGGAAGCATCAGGAGATGATGGAAGGAACATACAGAGTCACTATACCAAAAAGAATTGATCAGCATTCAGCCATTTCAGGAAATAGTGTATGATCAAAAACCGAGGGTACTAAAGGAGGAAGTCCAAGCTGCACTGGAGACACCGGCAAAAAAACAAGGCTCCGGGAATTGACAGATTACCAATTAAGATGTTTCATCAAACGGATGCAACATTCGAAATGCCTAGAATATCATCTATGCCAGGAAATTTAGAAGACAGCAACCTGGCCAACAGACTGGAAGAGATCCATATTTGTACTCCTTCCAAAGAAAAGAGATCCAGCAAGTGTAGAAATTATTGAACAGGATCATTGATATCACATGCAAGTAAAATTTTGCTAAAGATAACTCAAAAATGATTCCAGTAATACATTAATAAGGAACTTTCAGAAATTGAGCTGAATTCAGAAGAGGACGTAGAACAAGGAATCTCATTGCAGATGTCAGATGGATTGTGGCTGGAAGCAGACAATGCCAGGAAGATGTTTACCCGTGTATTATTGACTACCCAAAGGCATTAGACTGTGTGGGTCATAACAAATTATGGATAGTGAAGAATGAGAATTCTGGAACATTTAATTGTGCTCATGTGGAACTCATACATAGACCAAAAGGCAGTTGTTTGAACAGAGCACGGAGATTAAAAAAAAAAAAAAAAAAAATCCATTGCTATCGAGTCAGTTCCAATTCACAGTGACCCCCACTGGGTTTCTGAGGCAGTAAATCTTTACGGAAGTAGATTGCCCAGTCTTCCTTCCGTGGCATGGCTGGTGGATTTGCACCATCAACCTTCTTAGCAGTCAAATGCCTTAAGGTGTATGTCACGGTTGTATTTTTTCTTCATGTTTGTTCAACCGTATGCTGGGCAAATAATCCAAGAAGCTGGTCTATATGAAGAAGAACATGGCATCAGGACTAAAGAAAGACTAATTAACTGTGATAGACAGATGACCCAACCTTGCTTGCTGAAAGTGAAGATGATTTGAAGCAATTACTGATGACGATCAAAGACTACAGCCTTCAGTATGGATTATACGTCAACATAAAACAACTATTTTCACAATTGGACTAATAAGCAACATCATGATAAATGGAAAAAATGTTGAAGTTGTCAAGGATTTCATTTTACTTGGATCTACAGTCCATACCTATGGAAACAGCAGTCAAGAATCAAATGACATATTGTATTTGGAAAATCTGCAAAAGACCTCTTGAAAGCGTTAAAAAGCAAATGTGTCACTCTGAGGACTAAGGTGTGCCTGACACAAGCCATGGTATTTTCAATACAACATAGACATGCAAAAGCTGGACAGTGAATAAGGAAGACCAGAGAAGAATTGATGCATTTGAATTGTAATGTTGGCGAAGAATAGTGAATAAACCATGCGCTGCCAGAAGAAAGAACATATCTGTCATGGAAAAGGTACAGCCAGACTACTCCTTAGAAGTGAGGATGACAAGACATTGGCTTACTTGGTCACGTGATCAGGAGAGACCAGTCCTTGGAGAAGGGCATAGATACCATGCTCGGTGAAGTGGAGGGTCAGCAAACAATAGGAGCCCCTTCAACAAGACAGATTGACACAGTGGCTGCAACAATGGGCTCAAACATAGCAGTGACTGTGAGAAGGGTGCGGACGGGGCAGCATTTCATTCTGTTCCAGGCAGGGTCATATGAGCTGGGACCAACTTGATGACACCTACAAATGGCAGCATCCCTGGGGCATCACTGAGGTGCTCCCACAATCTGTCCCTGGGGCTACAGATGTGCAGCTCCCCGCTCCCCCAACTGATGCCACAGCCTAAGAGTTCCCATCCTTCCGACGTCACCACGGCAGAAACCAAACCAACTGCCAAGATGAAGGCATGATCCTTTATGCACCTCGGTGGCCGGTTCCCTTTCCTGTTCCGCCAGCGGGCCATGTCTGTTTATCTGTTGTTTCTATCTGGACTCTGTTCTACTACGCAGGTTAACTTCCTCAGTAAATTTAAATTTTTTATTATAATATTGTAATCCAATGTGTATTTTAATCCGATACATAGCGTTCAGTATTTAAGTGGCTCTGACCTTC